GCATTAGCAAACTCTTGAGCAGCAACAACAGTACCATGTACTCCGCCATTGTTGTGTATGTTTGTTCGCGCTTGCCTTTAAAATCGACACGTACTGCGCATGTCTACATACCTAACACGTACTACGCACGCGCATGACGTCACCATTTTCATAGATTCCCATATTGGGTGTTTACACGGAAACGATAACGGTGCCGTTTTCAAAAACTTGCACTTTAAAACCCATTTTCAAAAATATGCGTTTTCAGTCCCCAAATCACCGTTGTCGTGTAAACGAACAGTCAAAACGCATAAAAAGTTTCCCTTTTTTGGCTGAAAACATTGTCGTGTAAACAGTCCCTAAGTATGTATACATTACCTCTTTTCTGTCCCATTCTATAGTTTTGAGAAGTCAGACACACATCGGTTTGAAGTGCAGAGAATGCTGATGGAGGACAATCTATCACTGGAGATCTACATCAATAAAATGAAGGACGAGTGAGTTTGATTCATTGATTAATGATTCTGGTCCCTGGAGTCTGACGTGGCTTTGATATTCTCTGATGTCTGGTGTGTGATTGGCCAGGGATCTGTACAAGTGGTGGGGTCATTATCTAGAGAGCCAATCAGACATGGAGGCTGCGCTGCATTACTATGACCTCGCTCAGGACTACCTGTCTCAAGTGCGCGTGCGCTGTTATCTAGGAAACATTCAAAAGGTATGTTGATTAAAGTTCCCTTTGTGTCCAAAACAAAATGAACCAAAACTTCACAGTGATCTATATATTTGACAGGCGAGTGAGATAGCCAATGAGACGGGCAACAGAGCAGCATCTTATCATGTTGCACGGCAGTACGAGGGACAGGATGAAATTAGCCAATCGGTGCACTTTTACACACGAGCACAAGCCTATAATAATGCCATACGACTGTGTAAAGAGAATAACTTGGACGAGCAGCTCATGAATTTGGCACTGCTTAGCAATCCAGAGGACATGATGGACACGGCAATGTATTATGAAGAGAAAGGAACGCACATGGACCGAGCTGTTATGCTTTATCATAAGGTACATCCAAACAAGTACATGCACCTTTGAACTTTATCACTAGGTGGTGCTGATCGCTTATAAAAGATGGCTCCATTCCTCTTTTCCAGGCAGGTCATGTGTCTAAGGCTTTGGAGCTAGCTTTTGCCACAGAGCAGTTTGGAGCTCTGCAGCTGATCGCAGAGGACCTGAATGAAAACAGTGACCCTGCCCTACTAGCACGCTGCTCTGATTTCTTCATAAAACACGCTCAGTACCAGAAAGCTGTGGAATTGCTGGTGGCTGCCAAAAAGGTGAACACACCATGCACTGTCATACAACCAATCATTTCATATTCATACCATTTCTGCATGCAAACTGAACAAAAAGGCAGTTTACAACAAGAACAATAACGGTAACTCACAATAACTTTCTGCTTATTTTAAGTGCAAGCTGCAGTTTTGTCCGTCTGCTGCTTTAAATGATCAATCTCTTGAAGCAAGATGGGTTCTGATTGGCTGTCAATGTTTTTATCATTCATCAGCTGGACAATTTGTTCCAAACATATCATTCCTCTTCTCATTATTATTATAGTTGTGTTCTAATTCTGTTTTCATGGAATTAGAATGATTATTAAAACTTTATATTAATAGTAGTAATAGTAGAATTAAATAGAAATCACAACAGTGTTTCGTAACTGTATGCATATGGATATGTGTGTGTAGTACCATGAGGCGCTCCAGTTGTGTTTGGACCAGAGTTTGACCATCACAGAAGATCTGGCCGAAAGTCTGACGGTGCCAAAAGACTCGTCCCATCTGTCTGAGGCCGGGAGAAAGGAGCTGCTGGAGAAAATCGCAGACTGCTGCATGCGGCAGGGCAACTACCACTTAGCCACTAAGAAATACACACAAGCTGGAAACAAGATCAAGGTTTGCCCTGTGCACAAATCAACAGCTGATTTACTGATCAGTGACTGGAGAAGATCAAACAGCTTTCATTTTGCTCTTGCAGAAAGATTTCATGTAATCTTATGGCATGGCTCTCATGAATACTTGATTCTGATTGGTCAATCACAGCATTTGCAGTCACATATTTATATATAATGATGCTAAACAATAGAATTGATGGTTATCCCATCAATTTTCTACACTGAGCTAGTTCCATGTTTCTCATATCATACTTTCTTCTCACTTCTTAAAATAATTGAAACTCAAATAGCCCTATAAAGCTTGATATATGAATTTCTGAGGCCTTTAAATTATAAACATGATCAAAACTTGTACACATTTATTTCACGTTTATTTGTTCATCTCTCAATCGTCATTGTATTGCATTGATTTATAAAACTACAGAGTTTTAATCATAAACTAAGCATTTGAATACAGTATAATCTTACTATGACATTATTGGAAGCTATATAGTGACAACTGATATTAATATGTATTTTAGTAGTCTGCTATACTCTTATAAAGTTCTCATTGATTTACATTACAAGCTAACATAATTTAACGGGGTCATATGATGCGATTTCAATTTTTCCTTTCTCTTTGTAGTGTTACAAGCTCTTGGTGCATAAAGAAGATCTGTAAAGTTGCAAAGACTAAAGTCTCAAATCCAAAGAGATATTCTTTATAAAAGTTAAGAGTCAACCACGCCTACCTAAAATGGCTCGTTCTAACACGCCCCCACATATCTACGCCCCGATGTGGGAAGATTTGCATAACGCTGCCCGAATGTTCACGCAAAGAAAGAAGGCGTAATTTTTGTAGTATTGGTAGTATTGTTGCTGCCGCCGCAATGTCGTGAAGGCGCTGTGTGTTTCGTTGTGAAAGCATGTTTGGCCTGTTTGGCCTTCCAAAAGAGGACTATATCTGCTTTGTCATGCCTGGAGCTGATCCGTGCTGGTAACTGAGGAAATACATCAACATCGCGCTGTGCATCGCCGGATCGGCTTTCACCGTGGACAAAGCGGAGTCCAGCCCGGGGTCATCACATGTGGTTATCACAGTTCGGTGTGTTTCGTTGTGAAAGCGAAACTACTTTGTTTGGCCTTCCAAAAGAGGACACGACTAGAAATCAGTGGTTAAGTTGTATTTACAACACTGTTCCAGATCAGTTCAACCCAAATATTCAGATGTGTGCAGAACATTTAACGGAGGACTGTTTCCTGATCCTGCAATGCCGGCTGTTCTGATTCACAGACTGTAAGTACGTTTTCATATTTAAAGAATTTGCCACTGATGATTCAAACGCGAGTTTTGAGCAGTGTAGAGTAGCGCTTGTTGTTTGTCATTTCTCCGATCACAAATGCAGACAAGAGTTTTATGTTTACGCGGCGCGATGCAACACATAAAAAGACAGTATAAGTCATTCAGTAATTATGTCCCCACTGGATGCAACAAATGCCTCGTTTATAATGGGTTTTAATGTTTTTGTCTCGTCGCTCCGGACGGGACACGGCATCACAGTATGGTGAGGGGCGTAACATTTCCGGCTCACGCTTGAGGTATTCGGCCAATCACAACGCACTGGAGAGCTGGCCAATCACAGCACACCTCGCTTTTCAGAACGATAAGCTTTGTAAAAATCGACGTGCTTCAGAAAGG